GTTATTTGGCGTTACAGGAAACTGTGCTGCCTGCAGTAAACTCATACCTGCTTTTGAAATGGTGATGAGAGCAAAGGACAATGTTTATCACCTGGATTGTTTTGCATGTCAACTTTGTAATCAGAGGTAAGAGAATTTCTTGGATCTGTTCCATAAGCTAAGTGCTAATTCGGCACTGATGCAGACATACATTCAAGTGAGGCAGAAACATCTACCAGTTATGGAAACCCAAGACTGAGAGTAAGACCTGAATGCTTACCCTGGGACTGATACAGAACATCTTTCATGACCTTGGCCAGAAAACTTTTTGTGCCTCAAATCCAGCATCAGTAAAAAAGAATAATGTTACTTCCTCTCCTTCAAAAGGCTGTCTGTCAAGTTTAATTAATTAATATTTATAAAGGATTTTGAGATCCTTTTCTGCAGAAGAGCATAGCAGTATCATTTGTCATTAATTTCACTTTAATTCTTCATTTTTATCACATGTATTTCTTCTAAAGTACATATTTTTTCTTCCTGTTGCCAGAGCTGTAATCATTTAAATTTTAAAGATGTTGTTCCCACCATTTTCTCTGTAGCAGCATTGGACTTCTTATGCCATATTTTTATTTCCATATCCTAATGGCAGGTTATAGCGATCCCAAGGACCCAAGCCTGACACTTTATTCTGAAGCATCACCCATAAGCTACAGTTGCAGAACATGTGTCAAAAATGGTAAAATTGTAACAATTTCATTTTTGAGACCTGAATAGGGTTGAGCTTATAGCAACTATATTCAGCCTAGTGGCCAAACCCCACCAGAGTTTTAACCCAGAGCTCCATTTCTGACTCCACAAGACCTACTAGCCACTTGCCAGTAACTTCTATAAGGTCTAGGAAATGAGAGAACCAATTATGTCTGCTCCTTAATGTGCGTATTATTTTCAGTTATTTTTCAGTTATTACATGATCCTATTTAGATCATGTAATGTTGTATAGCGTTCATATTTTTTTCAAGTGGGAAGAAACACAAGATTTACATTAACAAAAAAATTAGAAAGATAATAGTCTCCACAACAAAGTTAGACACAGCTTTAAATAAGCTTTGTTAACTCACCTTGTCCTACAGTGTCTTATTTTGTAACATTGCAGTCATTTAAAAATCAAACATCCCTAAAGGACCATAAAATGTACAGCTGCTAATAAGTGTAGCACAGTACAATTATGCTCTTTTAAAAAAGCCAAATTGACCTTTTTCATCATGTTGCATGGGAAATTAAAATACCAGGCAAGTAATAACCACTGCTTAAACTATATAATAATGCAAAGTAATTATAGGTTCTAATGCTATTTAAAGTCTGATATCAATTTTGTCTTGCCACAGAACTAAGAGGCTGTATTCTGAGCAGGCCAGGCAGAGCCTCCTGTAGTACCCACTGAAGTAAAACACACGCACACTCCCAGGTCTCGTTTCTTAAACCCTTCACATCCCTTTACTTTTTCAAACCGTGCTTCTAGTACCATTATTAAAGTGCCTAATATATTTCTGTTGTTCGCTTCATTTATTACATGCCATAATGGGGCTGCATATCTTTAGTGCTGGTTATGCACAATTAGCACTTAGTTATTGTCTTGTCACTTCAGCCCATACAAGACAAACTTCTTTAATGTAAGAAGTCAGCTAATCTTCATCAGTCAAGCAAAGACGACAGTGTTTGTTACCTGGAGTGCAAAAGATTTTCATCATAGTTAGCACTCTTGGATCTGCGGAAGTGGACTTTCTTTTTCCCCTCCTCCTCACCAGAAAGCGGAGGTGTTGTGATTATTTTTAATATTCCTCTTTTACCATTACAAGTGTGAACTAATGTACAATTTCACTTTGCAGCTAATATACTCCATACTGTGCCCTAAGGCCACTGATCCCTCTGGAAAAGTGCTCTTACATGCTTCTGAAACAGAGCTTTCCTGGGATATTTAATAATTCTTATGCTTGTCATTCCTGAGCCTTCAGTCTAGTCTTTTATTTGATTTTTACTTTGCATGTAGTTTGGGCAAAGGGTTGCTGAAATAGTCTTACAGGAGACTTAGGCTGGGAACAAAAGAATTGATTTACCTGAAATACAATCTCGTTCATCTAGTCAAAACAGGGAACAGTTCAAGAAGTTTCAAAGAATTTCAGAGATTCTCAAAAGTGGCCCTAATCCTGATTGTATTGCAGTAGCTCTCATGGAGCCTAATAAAAAAGTCTGCCTGTAGAGTACCTTTCTTCCTCACAATTTGGGGCTGGTGGCACTCTGAAGAATTAATTCTGTTGTTTTTTATAATAATCCCTATTCCATGGATGCTCCAACATAGCTCTTCTGTAGTTCCTATGGCAAAGCATCCCACTGACTACATTCTTTCATTAACAAATAGCTTTAAACCTTTGGATTTTCATTACTTGTATATAAAAAAAAAATCCCAGGAATGCTAGACACCTGACCCATCACCAGTTTTGGAATTTTCTAGTATCTATGAAACCTCTTTCTCTTTTCTTTTAAACCAAATACTCTCGTCAGCCACCATGCCTTTAATAATTTCTGTTGCCCTTCTCAGGATCTTTTTTTCTTCCTCTAGTTAAACTAATCAAAACCAAATGGCACATTCTGAGTGAGGATGAGTTTGTAAGATGGCGGTTTGACTTTATTTATTTATTCCATGCCTCCCTTTCGTATGCAAAATAATGTTATTGAGGGGTCTTAGGTCAGCTCTTTCACTCCAGCCACTCTCCCTAATGCAGAATGTATTGAAGAGGATATTTTTATTTACAAACATATCAGCAATATCCAAAAGAAATAGCAAGGCTCACCAGCTATTACAAGACCTGTATGTTTGACCTTATTCCCCACATTCATATTCTCTGTCCCCATTAAATTTTTAATTCTTTGGGTCATTCTGTATACCAATAAAAGTACAACATATCTGGAGTATTACTGCAGAGTACATAAAGCTTTCTGTTCAGTTCCATATTTCAGATTTTCAGTTATCACCTAGCATTTAGTTTTTTTCCTAGCCAAATATATGCATTTGGCTATTTCCTAGCCAAATATATGACTAGAATAAAGCATTTCTTTAAATTTAAATTAAAAAACTTTTTGTCTTTGCCAGCACTGAATTTCTTCTGATGTTCTGTGCGTGGTTGCTCCTTCCAGCCCCTTCTGCCTTCCAACCCAGCTAATAATTATATTAACCCACATCTCACCAATCCTTGTGGGGAGCTGTTCTTCAGGCTTGCTATGGTATGACCCATATATTCCTACCCCCTAGATAGCTGATCCTGGCACAGTGAGAGAGAGGCCTGCCATTTTTTGCCTACTGCTTTTTGTGAAAGACTTGGTGATTTTTCTGCTTTTGTGTACACATTCACTGTTTGCTTTATCATTTTTGAGTATCTACAACTCGCCATGCAGCTCAAATCTCAGTGTGGATGGTGGTTAGACCCCATTAATTTCAGCAGACTTCTGTTCATGCCATCAGCAACCTCTAAAATACCTCATAATGTTCCTGTCCCCTTTTATCGTCCTCCTGAAGGCTACATTTTCAAAATGAGAAGAAAAATGCATTGTCTCACGTATGGCATCCTAGGAAGACAGACTGTAGACAGCACTGTAGACATAGACAGGACTGAAGGAGATCTCCTGAGCCACCAAGCCTAGTCCCCTGGTATCAAATAGGCACTGTCTCATATTTTCACTTCGTTAAAACTATTCAGCTCTAGGATTCAGTTGCTCCTCCAGCCAGTTTTGACATATTTTCTCCATTTTTTTATTGACACTGATGTTTAAAGCTGTAGGGATTTTGTGAACATTAAGCTCTGCTTCTAGCCTAAAGGTTTTAACATCCCCTTATCTTTCATGTTTCTGTCCAGCTTACTCCTAATTTGAAGTTTTTCCATCTCCTAAATACCCACAGTGCTCAGTGACAGTCATCTCAATAGCATTTGTGCTTCATTTTCTTCTCTGTAAACATACTAAACTTCCCCTCAGAAGCACTTCACGTCACATTGGCAGTATCCTCAATACAGTTAATTTCTGCATTAAATTTAAAGGGGGGGGGGGGGAAATGCAAACAGCTGGAAAAATAAACTTGTAAACAGACACTGCCTTTCACACATTGTCAGGTTGCATGTGTGTGACTAGCAAAATGGAGTGGAAAATCTTGCGAGTGGGCTCAGCTGTGTCTTTGCTTGATGCTTTTGACTACAGTGATGATGTCAGTCTGCCTTCGGCTTTCCCACTTTTGGGAGTTTTCATGTCCTTCCTTTCGCTCTCTGTCGGCTGCTTTAGCAGCTTGTTTCATACTTCTGAGATATTTTCTCTCTGACGTTTGAAGTCAACTCAGGGTATGGCTTAAAAGCCCCATCTGCTATCACCAAGGGGTGTTTAAATCAACTGTTCTTTCTTTCTATCCAAAATACCCTTTATTTTAATGGGAATTGGACTGAAAATAGTTACACACTCATTCAAATCAGTGTCCTGATGTAGCTGTAAACACTTACCTCCAGCTTAAACTGTAAAATGCCCACACAATGCTGCCTTTGTTCTCTGTCAGGCAGGAGGGAGCGAATGCAATGCCAGGGGCACCCTTATTTCAAATACAGCATTGGATTTTTGCGTCAGTGGTGATTTTATAAATTCTAAAGACCTGGATACTGCTTATTTTCACTGAATGTCTCTCAATTTTGAATAAAAATTAATATATTTTCAATACCTATTTAAAAAAAAATACTAAATGAATAGGATGCCAAGTTGAGGTTTGTCTTAAGTTGAACTAGGATTCTGTGTGAATACTAATGTACTGCTGAAAATATACAAACCCAGGCACAGGTCCCACTTTCCAGCCTTTGACAATAAATGGACATTTTGGCAGAACCTTAGGATTAGTAAACTATAGGTGTGGACTGATGAACTGTGGTGTAAAAGAGAGGCTTTGTTCTCTTAGTGATGCATTTAGGTTAACATTAATTCAAGTCATACTGGAAACTCAAAGGAATTTTATGAAAAAAGAGGAGAGGAGGAAAAGCAGAGGACAAGTTACGTCAATGATTGCACAAAGCAGAGGGGAAAGGTATGGGTGTGGTAAGTCTGAGCTTTCTTTATCCTAGAAGAAATCAATTAAATGCTTCCAGATTCTGTTTCTTTCTGCAGCAGCAAAGATCTGACATTACCAGAGAAGGCACTTCACACTCATCTTCATTCACAGAAATATTTCTCTTGCTTTCTTAAGAAGTCTTTGGTACCTTGACACATGTCCTGTACATCAGAAAAGATGACAGACAGCAGTGAGATCTCCTTAAATACACGTTCTGAACAATAAATAGCTATTTCTCAAAACTGAAGTTTTATGCTTCTTGTGATCAGTCTAGGCACACCTTTCCCTTCCAAACAAGGTGATAACAGAGGTCATTTTTTAATATAAATGGCCTTCCTTTGCCACTGTAAAATATGACAGGAGTTCTAGGATGTAAGTTAGTTATAATTGTCATCCTAATGTCACAGTCGTGTTAAAAGTACTATTACCAATTTATGGTTGTAAATCCAATCTGGCATGTTAATGCAGCCTATTGTATATTTTTTCACTGTTCGTCTTACCTGCTAAAAAAGTAATAGTCTTGCCTCGTTATATACTCCTAACCCAATGGCATCTTAATATGTTCCTAGATTCCGTTTGATACACCTGCCCAAACTGTGATTTAAATCCTGTGCCAATTCCATATAAAAACCCAGAAACAAAACCCCAAAACCAACAACAAACAAAAACCAACAACAAACAAAATCCACACAACACTTGCCAGAGGTCAAAGACTAGGCTTGAATTTATTCTTCAGTGTTAAAGCTGAGCCAGGTTTAAATCCTTGAGTTTTCAAAACCAATCTGAAGTAGTTGTAAGATGTAAATCTTTGATTTCAGAGAGGCTAAATCTGCTTCTGAGAGTCAAATAAGGCTAAAAGTGTGGATGGACAGAATTTGTGATAATTCACCTGTCCACTTTCCTTATCTCATTCTACCTGGGAGCTAACATGGCACGTTAATATGTTTTTCACCTGATGCTTGCTTCTTTGTCACCTAATGAGTGCATAATTCACACATTTGATACCCAGGGGCACACACAAGTCTCAGCATCAGTCTCTGCCAATGTGCTTTGGTCACTGAACTTGCACAATATGAAAATGGTTTCAGAATTTGTACTGTAAGTATCATAAGTAACAGGTTTTCCCCAAGGCACAGAGGATCAACCCAGCATGCAAACGCAACCCCATATGAACCCAGAGGATGTCTTAGCATGCAGACAGACCCACACCCCACAGGTTATCACACAGCAAGCATGTCTAGACAGGCCACTGGCAGCCTCTCCACAAGCCAGCTGTACACTTGGAAGGTAAATGATTTCTGGAACTGTGTATGTTTAAAACTACTCATGCATAAAGCTGTCAAATGCCATGTAGACATAGGTAGAGCATTTCTAGCTCGACATATTAACATAGCAAAAGCAAAAGGCATTGACACTTTTTATTGGGAAAGGCATCCTGACTCCCTTGTGTAGCTGTTGCAGTTTAATTCAAACCGTGGCACTTCTTTGAGGGCTGAGAAACAAAATCCTTCAGCCAGTGTTTTGATGCAAGCAATATCAAACATCAAGTGTTACTGTGTAAGTGAATTGCACTACAGCAGGGTAATTTTCATTTATGAAATATTTTAAGCAAATTAGTCTGCTAAGCTCTGTATTGCACTGGAACTCAATAGAATATGCAGCTGAATAACATTCATACTTCAGAGTTAGTGCTTTCTGCTGGGTGATCAGAAGACCTGACCCACAAGGAGAGATGGCCTGTTGTGTAATATTCCTCTGATGTTGTGGACACGGCTGGACAGACATCTCACACACATTCCCTATCAGTAATCTGTGGGCAAAAGGTAATGGATGATGTGTCACAATACACAGCTTCCCCTGCTTTAGTCCATATTAATCTATATGTTCATCTAAGAAGGACTTGTTTTCTTTTCATTTTTTTTTAATGTGAGTTCTTTGGGGAAAACACTTTTACCTCTTAGCACTATTTAACATTCCGTTACCTAATCTGGAAAGATGCACAAGAGACTTTTTGTCAGCACTGTTATAGATGAACAAGGACGTTTAAGATGGAAGCCAGAGAAACTGCCAAAGACCTTTTTTTCTTCAAGAATTCTGCTTTTCAATATACCTACTCAAAATATTTTTGTGTACTTAGTAGCCTAATATAGCAGGACTGGGGTGGGAAGGATAGCGGGAAACTACAAATTCTATAAAAGAGTCTTGACCATAAATAACTTAAAGATTTCGGGATCATTCCATAATCTCTATTTTCAATCATCATCAGCAGCAGGCAGTAATTCTACAGAAAAAAAAAGTCCACAAATAAACAAACCAATTTTCCTTTAAGAGCAGAGCTAATTCTTTTCAATCCACTTTTTTATTACACTATTTTCCCCTCTATCTATTTAGCTAACATAAGGATAAATTTCCAAAGCTACCGAGTTGGAAAATAAATGGGTTCACTGTTTGTCTAGCATTCCAATCTTCACAAATGTAAATCAGTCCAACTGCTACTCATTTAAACCTCCACCTTCACAAAACATTAAAGGACTGCTTTCCATACACAATTTAATCTGTGACAATTCACCAAGAATTCTGCTTGAACATCATTAGAAATTGACTATCTGATAAAGACAGGCCACTATCAGAGGTCAGGCGGGTCAACCTGTGTCATTTACATAGTTTTACTGGGTCAGCTACAGCAGGCACCACTATTTGAAGGTTAAATTGTTACAATTAAATACATATACAGCTATTCCCATAGCTACTCTGCTGTTAAATCTACCGTAAACAACACAAGCATTTATATCTGACCCTAACTGTGTCCAAGATGTCACCATTTGGAAATTATACAAAAAAGGACATTATAATCGGTTACACATTAAACAATACTTTATGTGGTGGGATCCATAATTAGCTGCTAGAATCTGGTTTCATTTATTCACATCAGTGTTAAGGGGTTCATTTAGGTTACTTTCTTTCATTTTAATTGGAATAATGTGAGCAGTGCCTCCCAATATATTTTATAGCTTCAGAGTTCACTATAAACAAAGGCACGTAACCCTGCCAAAGCAGTCACTAAGGAAACTCTTTTCTATGTGTTGGCCCTATTCACTTGCTCCCTAAGTATCTTCAAGATCAGCTTTGTCAGGGGGAAGGGTGGAGGGGGGTGTCAGTGAAGAACCTTCTTACACTCAAGCATATTGCTTAGCTGGGATAGCCTACTTTGCTCAAAGTTTGAAGCCAGCACCCAGCCAGGAGCATTAACGTCACATGATTTTCCTTCTCATCAGAGAAAATCAAATGAAATACCTCAGTAGCGTTTTGTAGCAATCAGGTCATTCTGATGCACACAATAGTATAACAAGGTAGGTATACTGATACCGCAAGAGAGGGAGCAGTTAGCTCAGTAACTAAATTTATAATCAGCTCCTACAAGGAAAAAGAAAACGGTTTCTCTGCCTACCTGCCTGTTTGTGTCTCGTTTGTACCACAATATAAAGTTGTGTGTATGCTAGAAACAGTTCTTAGAATTGTTTAAATCAATTCTAGTAAGATACCCAACTGGAATATAACAAGAAATTCTTACCGTATGCCTGTACAAATGTAACGTATCTCAGATGAGCTTTTTACAGAACACGATCATTTTGTTTTCCTTCTGATTTGTGTGAAAGCAGGACATTTACTTTACACTCAACTCAGTAGCCTGGGATATTAATTCTGTTTCATCTGTGTGCTCCTGACCTGATGCAAGACTCCCACAGTGTTCGGTGGGATCTGAATGAAGCCATTGGCTGGGGAAGAAAAAGCGCTTGAATGCACTAGATGTTGTTGAAAACACAGGATTAATTCTGATACCAGAGTGATTCCTCTGCTGGGCTTTCATGTACGGGGAAGACACATGTGCCTGTGCGCGCTGCGACAGACAGCAGAGGTGTGAGCCGCACGGTCACTACAACGAACACTTGTTGTACAGTCCTTATGTGTAAGATTATATCACATCATTCATCCTGACATTATCTTTTTTTTTTTTCCCTTTATTATTGTAATTTCAGATTTTGCGTTGGAGACAAATTTTTCCTGAAGAACAACATGATTCTGTGCCAAACAGACTATGAGGAGGGTTTAATGAAAGAAGGTTATGCACCCCAGGTTCGCTGATCTGATGCCACATCATTAAGAATACAAAGCACTATGTTCTTTTATCTTTTTTGCTCAACATGTATATAAGAAATGACACAGGAACCTACTGAATAGCATAGATATAGGGAGACAGAATGGTTGCGTGAAATAAAAGGCGGACTGCATCTGTATGTAGTGAAAATTGCTCCAGTTCAGAGTTGAATGTTAATTAAAAAGGTACTGTACATACAGCTGGATTCTTTTTGCTTGCTCTTGGGGTTTTTGGTTTGTTTGGGTTTTTTGTTTCTTTTTGTGTCATTTGGCATGAGATGTTTATTTTGGACTATTGTATATAATGTATTGTAATATTTGAAGCACAAATGTAATACAGTTTTATTGTGTTACCATTTGTGTTCCTGTTTGCTTCTTTGTATTGTTGCATTTAGTACAATCAGTGTCTAAACTTACTGTATATTTATGCTTTCTGTATCTACCAGCTATTTTAAATGAGCTGTATCTTTCTAGTAAAAAGCATTAAAGAGCAAATCCCAACCATTATTCTACACTTAGAGCTTAAGAATACTGTTTACATTAAAACTATTTAGAAAACTAATAACTCTAGCAGCACCTGCTGCTAATGATGCTATGGTTAAGGGTCTATCAGCACTTCTGTTATAAGCCTCTATTTTTCAGGGGTTAAGCATCTGCTGTTTAATTGAATAGATTTTCCTTAAAGAGCACTTTTATTTTACTACAAAATTTTGCAAAAAAAATCTGACCGGTTTGGGATATATTATAAAAGGTGCAAAAGTTAATGATTTTGGGTGCTGCTTTTATGCCCCATAGGCATTCAAAATGCCTGTATTTGATTATTAATTTAGCTGGAAATTAAGCCCTAATGCAAACCAGTGCCTCTGGCTATCTTATTTTATATATATATATTAAAAAAATATATGTGTTATTTTCTGAAATCATCTAATTTGGGGGGAGGGGAACGGGAGAGGACTTCTGGTCATATACATTTTTAAAAGTTCTTGAAATCTGGGGGCTCTCTCTCTGTCTCTCTTCCTTTTTTCTTTTGTTTTTGGTTTTGTTGTGGTTTTTTGGTTTTTGTTTTTTTTTTTTCAAACCAGGGCTTAACTCCATAAAGTTTTCTGGGGTTATGTCCTCAACAAACCCTGAAAAAAAGTGAAAGTAGAAGGCACCGTAAACAGCCCCCTCTGAGGGTCTGCTTACAGGAAGGAAATGACCCTGAGCCGACACTAGGGGAGTGACTGGTTATTAATTACCCACCTCCGTGAATGCTGAAGGTAATTTAAACGCTGTTGTAGGTGGGACAAAACTTTGAAATACCGATGCAGAAAGTGAGTGACCACACTTTGACTGCGCAGGTACTTTGCTGTTCATGCCAACATCCTACAGCTTTGTCCTATCCATACTGGCAATTAAAATCCTTCAGACAGAGGTGGAATCACTGCTGACAGCTACTGCTGGCAGTCAGTCTATATTCTAGGAGAGGTGGACCTCTGTTTTTAAAGCCATGAAGCTATTGCATCAGCAGGATGTCCCTAAGTGCTCATGCCCCTGACAGAACTTACAGGTGTTTGGCAAAGGAAAGCAGGATGAATGTTTTTAAAAGTTGTTGAATGCATATTTAATTCTTTTCTGTTTGGTACTGTAATCTGTCTTGCTGGGAAACAGCCTGCATTTTAAACAACATTAAGGGGAAAAAAAGAGAAAAACAGGAAGGAAAGAGAAGAAACCCACTATACCGTATGTTGCTATGAAGCTGAGCTCATTGTTTTTATATAGACTAAGAATGCTCACCTCTGCTGAAGTTGAGTGCTGCCTTTCCCTGCTCTTCCTGTCCTGTCACACAGTTTCAACATGTGTTTCCTGGGGATGGGGGAAGAAACTTTGTAATGCAGTGGGGTAATTTCTCTAGCATATGGTTTGCAGTACACTGCGCAGTGGTTTGACTTAGAAATGGATATTTAGTTCTAATGACTGTTGTTACCGTGTGGTTTTGTTTCTGGCTGTGAACACTTTTAAGAATAAGCATGGCTCACAACATTTGACTTTGACTCATACAAGACCAGTAAAAAATGCAACCACACCTCGAGCTATTCTTGTTAATCAGAAGAAATAGCTCCCCATAATTTTTCAAATTAAATTTAGCCCTATTTTGTGGACTATCTTCCTTCCTATCCTTGAGTACTGGTCTCTCTTCCACTCCATTCTACAGTCCCTTAATGTCTTTGGGATGACGAAACAGTTGATGTCAGATGTACTAACTATTAGGCTCTTCCAAATCTACTTCAAGTGCAATAAACAAGTTGTCTTATTCCATGAAGGTGAGGATGGCCAAAAAAAAGAAACAATCATCTCATTTTTACCCAGTCTCAATATTTTCCTCCAGCCCTTGCTGTGTCTTTCTGTTAGAAACCAGAAAGATCTGTCTTCTGTTTTCCATGAGTAGACTGGATAGAAATCCCTGGTTCAGAAATAGGAGTGGGGAACAGGAGAGAAGGGACCTTGGTTCTGCCTTTGACTTGCTGTAAGCTTGGGCAAGTCACTCAACATCTCTGTGCCTCAGTTGACCCTGTGTGCTGAACAGGGCTAATGCATACACTGCTTTTGTAAAGCATTTTTGGCTCTTCAGAAAACCAAGAGCTATGCACGCAAATGTTACCAGTAGCATTCTGGGAGAAGCAGAGCATTCATATGTGCAGTAGGTAACCACAGATCTGAGGCAGGAGAGCAAAAAACCAACTAAGCCAATGAAAAGCTTTGTCAGGGAAGAAGGCAATTACACACGAGTAGAGCTGTAAATGCTAAAGCGCTCTCTCATTACCATGAAGTGCCACTGCTCACCTCTCTATGGTGTAAATTAAAAGAGTGGAATGGGAAAATAGTGGCTTAGTGTTACATGCCATGTTACTCACATGTGCACACATATGTTTTGGGACATATGCTCAAAATGGGGAAGAAGAAGGTGATCATGTTATGGAGAAAATAATAGCTTCACCATTCTATCAAACTTAATTGACATAAGGATAAAGAAATGATGATTGATACACTTGTTTTAAGTGCTTCAATGGTGCACCATTGCTTTGAGCACTTTAAGCTCTTATATCTTATTCACATAAACATCTAAAATCTGTATGTAGAGGATACAGTATAAATTTAGATTTGACATAGGTCATAGATCGATTATACACATTTTCCTGTATTTCAAACTTCAGTCATGACTGGCTGTTAAAATAATAACTGGGAGTTAAAGTATTTAATGGAAAACTTTACAACTCCAATGAAGTATAATATCATAAGACAACATTGAAGACAGATTTACCTGTCAGGCCACTTTATTGATCTTTTTGACAGAGTCCTAGAGACCATTTTTTTGTGTTGCTTTTAGTTGTCTACCTTAGGTTTCCTTCTCCATCACTGTGTGTGTCAATATGCTCTGTCTGCATACAACAAAATATTCTTCTAGTGACCAGTGCTCAGTGCTCATTTGCCAGGCAGGAATACTTCCACTTAAATTTCCTGTTGTTAGGGTATTTTATCTTTGTCTGTACAAATCTCCATGTTTAGCCAGACAAAAATTGTAATAATAACAATAATTTTTTTTAACTCTATTATTCATGGATTGCTGTTTTTTAAGCCACATGGAAAAGTACAAATTAGCAAACCTTGAGTTTTCAACAGCTCCTCTGCCAACCATAATCTGCTGTGTATCTTACCTGCCATGACTGGTGATGAATCAAGACAGCCTGGATTCTGCAGAAGCAGTGACCAGGGCTAAAAGTTGATGTGTTTCATAATTGTACTTTTATCTTGCTTAATATACTTTCTGGTTTGATTTTTTTTTTTTTAAAGCGCACCTTCCTGTGTCTTCCTGCATTCCCAAAATGCTCAAATTTATGCTCATGTAATGTAAATAAAGAAAAATCATCCAGCAACCCCTCAAATGTTCCAAATTGCCTACATATAAAATGAATTGTGGAAAACAGATTGAAAAGTGGTCAATGAGAAGGGAGACTGTGGGGAAAGGAAACAAACAAAGAGGGACTGTGGCAAGGTTTCGCCTTACAAAATACTTTAAAGGCTTTTTTCCATGTAATATACAGCAGCTTCTTATAATTTTCTCAGCAGTAGGTAGTTTACAGTCATCTGTACCTAGAACAAATCATGTCAAAAATGAAGGTCTGTAGTGATTGCTGGGTATAATTTTGTACATTTAGCTGATTCTTCTGAAAGCTTCCACTGTGCTGCTGTTGTCAGACTAAATTATCAATTTAGCCATTTGTTGTTTAATGAATAAAAAACTCCTATGGCATTGGAGATGTTGTGGTTTCAATAAAGCAAAAGCTTTAACAACTCAAACTACAGAAAGCAAAGTGTGTACTGTATATCAGAACAGTGTTTTTATTCTTTTAAATACCACTTCAGATGAAAAAAGCCAATTACATATTCATTTAATACATTTCTCCACCTTCAGTCTAATAATGCAGACCAAACCTGTTTACTGTTCAGTATCTTGCAAAAGAAAACCAAAATACAATATGTGCAAGGTAATAGGCCATTAGCACAAACATGCTCCCAGTAAAAATCTTTTGTGTAGGCACCCTTTCTAGAAGCTGCCAATTGTGGGTGACAGAAGTATTATAAAGGAAGTGATTTTAATACTATTTAAGGCATTAAAAGCTGAAGAGTATCTGTTTAAAGCCTTAAAGTAAGGGTTGCATGTATTTAATACCTTTTAAAATGCCCTTCTGCTGATTTATATTCATCCTGAACCTGCTAATAATGAGTATACATAAGCAAATACCATCTTCCACCTATTCAGCATGTCATTGATATGAAAGCCCCAGAAAATATCTCATGTAATCAGTGTGTTCAGAGAGTTATCTAGCACAAATTACTCATTAACTCAATAGCACATAATAAAAAAGAACATCAATTAATTAATGAGTCACCCTCAGATCACTTTGATTACAACACAGCTCTGTTGAAACAGCAGTTATAAATGGAGCTGCCTCTCTTTATTCATTGTTTGCAATTGGCCCATTATTTTGCAGAGACCAGTGTCATATTTAACACATGCCTGCAGGTAATTGTGTGATTAGTTTCATAAATGAAGATGCACAGGGAGAACTTGGAGTGTCTTGCTCTACATTTGAGTCTGAATATGCAGGAATACACCGTACCTGCCGTGCTAGCAGACCCCTGCAGTGCCCATGAGGCCAGCCTGCCTATGGGCTGCAAGGTCCTAGTTGCAGGACAATACTCAGAACCAGTCATACAGACCTCTACTTTAATCTGAAAATCTCCAAGACCTTGGGCAGACCTTGATTTAGACCTCCCAACAAGCCACATTGCTGGTATTTCACAGGGAAGAATAGAGGCACAGACATTTAAGTGGGGTGCCCAAGATCATTCATCATGTCTGCACTCCTCATTACAAGCACGACTCATAAAACCTCACACAACCACCCCATCCTGGACTGTGCCCAGATAAGCTTCAGTGCTACACTTGGAGCAACACATCCAAACTCTTCT